GATACATTTTTATCTGGACCAAAAATGTTCTCAACCTCATTTCTGTTCGCCAACATTACTTAACTACAGCACTTTATTTTTTGCAGTTTGTGAAATTCTCGCCAGCGATGGTGTCTCTGTGGTCCTCGATTTTACTTATCACCCATGGCGAGATGGATTGGAGTTGCTGAAATCATATCAAATCCCTTTTTTGCGAGTAGATCGCATCATGGCGCCATATTTAAAAATGTTTTCACAATTTATAGAGCAAAAATCCTGGCACGAATGTATCCTGATCTTCCNAATAACACACATTTGTATGTTAATGTTTAGGATACCGAAGAGGCAATAATACAAATCATCGAAGGTTATCATTTTCGCGCTTTGGTGCTAAATGCATTCGATCAGCGCGATTTCGTGAAACGAATGCGGCAATTGCGACCAACACCCTCGTGCTATGCAATCTTCGCGAGTGGAACGGCGATGAGCAGCATTTTTGAAAAGGTACAGCAGCAAGTGTTTGTATTCGGTTTCGATTTTATAAAACTTTCATTTTTCAAGATATATGAAGGCAACCTCTTCGAACGACCTCGCGAGTGGCATTTCGTGTATTTGGATCCGCGTGATCGTGTCTTTAAATTTAGGAAGTCAGTGAATTATGCGACCAAATTTACAATCAATCCGAAGACTTTATGCCGCGCACTGCGCATGAGAGATGCTTACTGCCTTAACGGATTTACCGTAAGTAATGGTGGCTCCTTAGAGCTGCTTTCGTTAGGAAATATACATTTTTAATACAGTTCAATATTTATTTGAACCTTTCCTCACATTTCATGGTTTAGTTCCAACGCGCAATGATTTTGGAAATACTACGCAGCTTAATTGAAATTAAACAAATAAATATTAATTGGTTACAATCTTTCGTAATGCAATGTAACAACACGAGCCCCAACGAAGATACACATACGGGATTTAACATATTGGATCAATTCCCTTTGAATGAATTTTTACATTTTACCACCGATGCAACCTTTCCGGAAGAGGACCTCGATCTCGTGCCACGCCTTACTTACTCACCAACAATCAATATAAGTCTTTACTCGCGCGAGCACGAAGCGGCAACCGATTTAGCCATTTGGGAAAATGGTGATTTACGCAAAATTAATAAGACGCTTAGTCCACCGAGACGTTTCTTTCGCATTGGCACCGTGGAGGTATGTACAAAAAACTTTAGCATTTAATTAGGCGCATCGTAGGCAAATTGGCTTACGATTAGTCAGGAATGTTTCACCAACCGCTCGCAACAATTCGCTTATATAAGAGTCTATACTTTCGGAGACACCGAGGACCTTGTGATTAAGTAGTTATATGATTGTCCCAATGCGCCTAATT